GAGTGGCAGGGAGGTGAATAAGAAGTGGAGCAACCAGGACTCCAGCCATGCTTATATGTAATACTGGTGTCATAGGCAGCAGCTTACCCTGCTGGATGACAAGGCCAGTTCCTGTCCTTAACTTTTTTTTTTTTTAATAAATTATTGTATTCCTTTTTTTTTTTTTTTTTGACAGAGTGCATAGTGAGAGAGAGAGAGGAGACAGAGAGAAAGGTCTTCCTTTTGCCGTTGGTTCACCCTCCAATGGCTGCCACGGCTGGCGCACTGCAGCAGGTGCACTGCAGTGATCCGAAGGCAGGAGTCAGGTGCTTCTCCTGGTCTCCCATGGGGTGCAGGGCCCAAGCACTTGGGCCATCCTCCACTGCCCTCCCGGGCCACAGCAGAGAGCTGGCCTGGAAGAGGGGCAACCGGGACAGAATCCGGCACCCCGACCGGGACTAGAACTCGGTGTGCTGGCGCCGCAAGGCGGAGGATTAGCCTAGTGAGCTGCGGCGCTGGCTCTGTCCTTAACTTTTGACAGTTTGTAGTATATGTCAGACAAGTCTTTGCTTTTCATTGCTGTCTCCTTGTAGTCCTTTGATCTTCCTGGGTAACCAAATCTCTTGAGATTGGGGAAGTTTTCGAATTGTGTTTAGTAGGCTGTCAGTGCCTCCTGCCTTCTCTTCTTCAGAACCCTCATAATGTGAACGCTTGGTCACTTACTGGTATCCTGTATTTCCGGTGGGCTTTCTTTATTCCTTTTCTATCCTTTCTGTTTATTTTTATTTGACTGATTTATCTCAAAAGTCTTGTCCCAAATCAGAAATTCTGTTTTATGCTAGGTCTCTTCTGCTGTTGAACTTCTTAGTTGTCTTTTTAATTTTATTGATTGAATTTTTCACCTGCAAAATTTGTTTTTTTAATGTGTTTTTGTCCTTACTGAATTACTCATTCATATCACCTATTGTTTTCCTTATTTCTTTGCACTACCTGTGTTCACTTTCACCACTTGAGTTTCCCTAGGATATTTAATTCTGTTTCAGGCATTTCATAGGTTTCCATCAAATCAGGACCTGTTTCTGGAGAACTGTTACATCTTATGAAAGTGTCATGCTGTACTATTGCTTCCTGTTTTCTGTGTCCCTACAGTGACTCCTGCACATCTAGTGCAGTATCCCTTATTCTTTATGCAGTAGGTTTTGTTGGAAAAGGATTTTTTGTGTAGAAGGGACACAAGGTATCTCTTGCCTTGTTGCTTTGGCTGTGGTTCTAGGTGAGCCCTAATGTAATGTCTGAGTGACTTCTTCAGCTTTGATCAGTGTCAGCAGTGTCTGTAAGTGAAGCAGTTATCCAGTCTGCAGTTCATGGAGACAGAAGTGTGGCTTTAAGTGGATGTGTGTCTTCAATTGGCTGAGATTTGCATTTTAGTCACACCAGGATTCCTGTAGTGAGCGACACTGAGGGAACTGTCTCTTGTCCTAATAGGCAGCCTGAACGATAATGGGACTTGCGACAGCAGTAGCTGTTCTAGGACTGTGTGACATGGTTGTGACTTTCCGCAGTGCCTGCTGAGAGAGTGTGACTGTGCTGGGGCTTACAGCATAGGAAGCCCTACTCCTAGAACTGAGAATCGGAAGGTGACCTTGTTCCAGTATTACAGAGTGCCTTCGAGGTACACAGGCCTTTGGGTCTGGAGAGGGGGAGTGTAGGCAGGTTCTTCCCTGGGTCTTACAGGTAGACTGCAGTGAGTCTAAGTAAGTGAGTACTGATTGTCACAGTTCTGGCGCTACATGATGCCGTTGGGTGAGAACCATCTGTGAGGGAGTGGTGGTAGCCACCTGGGTGAAGCAGCCCAATGCAGATAGAGCTCGGGTACGTATGAGTTACTCCCAGATTGTAACACCAACATTAGCAGTCACAGTTCTGCAAGGCACAGGCGGAATTGCTGCGGTGGGTGACGGTGGCACCAGATGGCAGCTACACACCTGTCTTCTTGCATTTCTGTCTTATGGAGTCTGCTATTCTGTTACTTCTTTACTGGAAATTTCCCTCAAAAGAACACTTTGTTTTTCTGGTTGGCTGAGGTGAATGCAAATTCTCCGCTTCAGGTTCATAGCGTTACTTTAACTGGTTCAGCAGAGGAGCAGATTTCTGAGAGCTGTTAATTTTGAGCTGTTGAGCTCAGCTGAGGGTCTTCTGAAATCTCTGTGGTCTACATGGAGATACATGTGGGCATTTATATATATAAGGCCTGAGGGAGGGTTTTTATTCTATAATGGATAGATGATAATTAAATGTTTATAGCTGGCCGGTGCCGCAGCTCACTAGGCTAATCTGCCCCTGTGGCACTGGCACCCCGGGTTCTAGTCCCGGTCGGGGCGCCGGATTCTGTCCCGGTTGCTCCTCTTCCAGTCCAGCTCTCTGCTGTGGCCAGGGAGTGCAGTGGAGGATGGCCCAAGTACTTGGGCCCTGCACCCCATCGGAGACCAGGAGAAGCACCTGGCTCCTGGCTTCCGATCAGCGCGGTGCACTTGCTGCAGCGCGCCGGCCACAGCGGCCATTGGAGGGTGAACCAACGGTAAAGAAAGACCTTTCTCCCTGTCTCTCTCTCTCTCTTACTGTCCACTCTGCCTGTCAAAAAAAAAAAAAAAAAAAAAGACTTACTGTCCTGCAGGGAGAGGCACACTCCTTGAAAGACAGTTTCTGGGGCCGGTGCTGTGGTGCAGTGGGTTAACGCCCTGCCTGAAGCGCCGGCATCCCATATAGGCGCTGGTTTGAGACCCGGCTGCTCCACTTCCAACCCAGCTCTCTGCTATGGCCTGGGAAAGCAGTAGAAAATGGCCCAAGTCCTTTGCCCCGGCACCCACGTGGGAGACCCAGAAGAAGCTCCTGGCTTCAAATCGGTGCATCTCAGGCCATCGTGGCCAACTGGGGAGTGAACAATCGGATGAAAGATCTCTCTCTCCTCTCTCTGTGTAACTCTGACTTTCAAATAAATAAATCATAAAAAAATGAAAAAAAAAAAAGTGTCTTCTCTTTAGCCTCCTTCCTGGTCGGATCTGAAGCAGTGTGGGACTGTGTGTCTGTTTTGGAGTCTATAGCTTTCTCAGTTGTGTGCTCCTGATCCAAGTTTGGGGCTCGAATGTGCTAAGACTTGAACAGGAAAGACTTTTAGAATGAGGAAATGGTGGGGACTCTTGGACGTGGTTCCTTTGCTCCCAGGCTTGTGTGTGAGTACCAGGTGGGAGAAGGGCCGAGCAGTGCGGCGTGTGCAGAAGACTTCAGTGTTCCTTACTCAGCTTCCGAGCCGAGCCGCAGTCCCATGTCCAGACCTACCCAGGGGAGGCCGGAGAGGGCATTGCAGCTGCACATCCCAGAGCAGAGGGACTCGGTGGCTGAACAGCTGGCACATTCTCCTTTATCCTAGGTTTCAGTCTCCCTAAAACCTGAATCCCAGCAGCTTGGAGTAAAGAAACTACTTTCTCTAATAAGTTCATTTGTGGCGCCTTGCCTGAAGGGAATCAGGTGCTATGAAGAGTTCTTTGGATACACATAACTAGAGCTTTCGATTTGTGGTGCTGTGGTAATTCGTGGCTTAAACCATGGAGACAGTCAGAAAAACTTACCAAAGGAAAGTTTCATAGCTTCATTCTTTAATGAGAATGCAATAAAAGCTGATATCAGACAAAAAAGATGCATAACCTACTTCCTAAAAATTAAATACTATGCATTTTTGAAAACTAGAAAGTCTTTTTTTTTTTTAAGATTTATTTATTTACTTGAAAGTCAGAGTTACACAGAGGGAAGGAAAGGCAGAGAGAGAGAGAAGTCTTCCATCTGCTGGTTCACTCCACAGATGGACACAATGGCTGGAGCTGCGCCGATCCGAAGCCAGGAGCCAGGAGCTTCTTCCAGGTCTCCCACACGGTTGCAGGGGCCCAAGGACTTGGGCCATCTTCTGCTGCTTTCCCAGGCCCTAGCAGAGAGCTGGGTTGGAAGTGGAGCAGCTGGGACTCGAACTGGCATTCATATGGGATGCTAGTACTGCAGGCGGTGGATTTACCCACTACGCCACCGCGCTGGCCCCAGACAGTATCATTGTCTTAGAATTATATATATGAATTTTACTGAATCTCTTTGTATTAATATTACATTAGCATGAGAATTGTGCTGTAGTAGTTAATCAGGTATTTTCTGTGACTCTGAGAATCTGATGTATTAATTAAAAAAGAATTTGCACATTATTTTGAACGTTATGAAAGCCAAAACCAACAGTGTGTTGTAAAGCAAATGTATCTAGGAGCTCTTATTATATATAAAAAAACCCTTAAAATAAATCTCATGTCTCACTTAAGTTAGAAAAAGAGTAACAGAATGAATCCTCAGGTTGTGTTAATTACCTTTGTTTTGTTTCAACTGTTTTGATGATTATCTGAAACCTCCCTTTTTGTTAGTAATTCATTTCTTCGAACTTGCTGCTTATTTATTTTTATTTTTTAAAAGCTTTTTTAAAAACATTTATTTTATTTATTTGAAAGACAAAGCTACAGAGAGAGGTAGAGACAGAGAGGGAGGTCTTCCATCCACTGGTTCACTCCCCAGATGACTGCAATGGCCAGAGCTGCGCCGATCCGAAGGCAGGAACCAGGAGTTTCTTCTGGGTCTCCCAAGTGGGTGCAGGGGCCCAAAGACTTGGGCCGTTTTCTACTGCTGTCGCAGGCCACAGCAGAGAGCTGGATCAGAACTGGAGCAGCGGGACTAGAACCAGCGCCCATATGGGATGCCGGTGCCGCAGGCCAGGGTGTTAACCTGCTGTGCTACAATGCCGGCCCCACCACTTGCTGTTTCTAAGCCATTTTATATTTTGTTATTAACCAAAATTGTTAATTTTTCTTTCTGATTTTTAAATCATCTTTGCTGAGTTAAATTATATAAAGTAAAAGATTTATAAAATTAACTAATTGTGTGGATAAGATATAAGGATATTATGTATTGAGAATAAAATTTTGATTTTCTTTTAGATTTTGATGGAAGAAAGAGGAATAGATTCTTTACAAGACAGACCAACATCTGTTAAGAAAATCTGTGAGTATAGCCTTATAAATTAACTTTATTCCTTTTTAAGAAACTAGCAAATAGGAATCAGTTACATGTTAACTTTCTTAATCAAGTTTTTGACTGTTAAAGATATATTTCATAGATGCCTTAGAATGTGCTATTCATGCGGCTGACTGTAAGATTACTTTGGTCTTGTATGCACATACGTGCATGACGAGCTCACGTGATCTGTGTGTGGTGCAGCAGTGTATCCCGTGTGGCTCTGTGGCCCGTCCACCAGGATCAGGAGGGTCCCTTGACTGCGTTTCCTCTTGTGCCCTCTAGAGGTGACTGCTGCTCTGAGTGCGGTTGCTGTGCTGTCACACACAGGCTTTTCCGTTGCTGGACTTCGAACTTCCCGCATATTTGAGCAAACTCTCTGTATTTATGTTCAATGCAGCTTTTTTTTTAAATCTAGTATTAAATTTTGAGGTTTGTCTACTTTTATACCTGCAGCTCCCAGTGTGTGTCCTGGGTTTTGATTGGTACATTGTCTCCTTTATCTTCTGGCAGTGATGTTTGGATCATTTGGAATGTTTCTATAGTAAACAGGACTGCTGTGGCCACTGCTGACCTTTCACATGCATGGAAAGTTCTCCAGGATGTGTTTCTGGTTCTGATGATAGGAACATCCTCATGTCAAGATGATATAAAAGTGTTTTCCAAAATGTGCCAATTCAGATTCCCACTAACAAGCGTTGAAGAGTCTTAGATGTTCTGTATTTTCATGAGCGTTGTGTCAGTGTTTTGTGCTTGTTGGTAAACTGGTATCTCCTTTTGGTTTTAATCTGCATTTCCTTGATAACTGATGAGGTTGATTTACCATTCACGTGTCATGTGAAATGCCTGTCCTCTCTGTCACGTTTCTTTTAGGAGGTTTGGTTTCCTTTACAGGATGTGTCTTAACTTCCTGTGTTCATGTCTGTCTGCAGTCTCCCATTTCTCTATTACGTGTCCTGGATCCTGGTTGCTTAGAGGTCTGTGTGACAATCCCTTCATACGTGAGGGTTCTTCCCATTTTGTCCTGTCTGGTACCTTTTAGGTGTCTTGTGGGAGGATAGTTCTTCATTACATATGGCCTGCTGGGAGACCTAGAAACTTTCTGGCATATTTTTTTTTTCATTTTATATGTGAATATATAAAGTCTTGGATTTTTAGCCCTGTCTTCCCTGCCCCATCTGCTCTATAGGAGTATTTTTCCTCGGTTTGTCATTATAGTATTTTTTTTCTGAAAATAAAGCCGAAAGATGTATAAACACGGATGTACATTAGTCTTAGTTCCCTGACTTTGAACCATGTCAGTGCATTCTTTTGATTTTATTAACTAAAGAAAATGGATGTCCTTTAAAGATTTTTTTAAGATTAGGAAACCGAAAGAAGTCAGAGCCAGTCAAGTTGGGGCTGTAAGGTGGTTACCTGATGGTTGTCCTTGGGAATTCTCACACAGTTAGCCTTGTGCCATGGGAAGGAGCCAGGAGTGTTAGGTTTTGCAGAGGGTGAAGCTTTCTTAGATGTTTTCCTGCTAAAGTTTTGCCCTAATTTCAAAATATTCGCCTAACAAGCAGATGCTGTCATTCTTCAGTCCTTCAGGAAATTACTGAGTGAAATACCTTGAGCAAGCTGAAGAACTGTTGCCATGACTTGGCTTGTCTGCTTTTGCTTTGACTCAGCCACTTCCCCTGTTGGTGGCCATTGAGCTTTTGTCCCGTTTTTCAACTGTTACATTGGGAAAGCCATGTTTGATCTCCTGTTCCAAATTGGTTTTTAAATTTATTTATTTATTTGAAAGAGTTACAGAGAGACAGAGATCCTCTGTCTGCTGGTTCACTCTTAAAAGGGCTGCAATGCTGGGACTGGGCCAGTCCAAAGCCAGGAGCCAGGAGCTTTTTCTGGATTTCCCACATGGGTAGTGGAGCCCAACTACCTGGGCCATTTTCTGTTGCTGTCCCAGGCAATTAACAGGGAGCTGGATTAGAAGTGGAGCACCTGGGACTTGAATCTGTGCCCTTATGGGATGCTGGCATTGCAGGTGGCAGCTTTACCCACTATCCCACGAGTGTACGTGTTGAAAATTTCCAGAGGAAGCTATGCTTTTACACCTTTTGCACCTAATATTTTTAAAGATTTATTTGATTTATTTGAAAGAGTTACAGAGAGAGGTAGAGACAGAGAGAGAGGTCTTCCATCCACTGGTTCACTCCCCAGATGGCCGCAACAGCTTGAATAACCGGATCCCTGCCACCCACGTGGGAGCCTGGATTACATTTCCAGCTCCTGGGTCTGGCCCTGGCATTGCAGGCATTTGGAAAATCAAACAGTGGATGGGCGTGCTCTGTCTCTTACTCTCCCACAAGTTAAGTTATAAAATCGTTATTTTAAAAAAAAATTAAGTGCAAGGGGCTGGCGCTGTGGCTGTGCTGTGCTGATCTGAAGCCAGGAGCCAGGAACTTCTTCCATGTCTCCCACAGTAGCTGTAGGGGCCCAAGGACTTGGGCCATCTTTTATTGCTATCCTAGGCCATAGAAGAGAGCTGGATTGGAAGTGGAGAACCTGGTCTGGAATCAGCACCCATATGGGATGCCGGTGCTTCAGTCCAGGGCTTTAGCCCACTGTGTCACAGCGCTGGCACAAGGTTTTCTTCTTGTTTCTAGGCTGACTGATGTTCCATTGCAGATTTTGCAATTTGTATTATCTTTGCATTCCTATAATAAATGCCACCAAATCCTAATAAAAATGCATATTATGATAAAACTATATATGGATTTCATTTTTTTGCACCAAAGTAAACTTTGCTTTTAATGCGATTTTGCATGAACTTTTTGAAGTGGCCTTGTATTCTGGTTGTTTGCTATTCTGGTTTATTTTCTTCTTTTACAGATTTTAACCTCTTTAATTTTGTATTAATATTCCTAAGTGAGTTTTTTTCGGAGAGTGTGTGAGTCTGTGTGTGCCCTCTTTTATCAGATTCTGTTGCGCATGTGTAATGCTGGGCTCATAGACTTGAGAAGCCACAGGCGTGTAAAACGTGCGGCTGTTTGAAAGTTTTCTTGAAGTTTGCGTCTCTCGCCTCGCACTCATCCCAGTTTGGCTGCTCCGTTGCAGACTGTTCTCGCGTCATGCTAGGGTTGTACAGTTTCTGCTTCACTAACGTGCCTTCAGTTTGTTCCACCTTTAATCTGACCTTACCTGGATCCCTTTGTGGACAACCTAAAATGCAGCATCTTTAATATTTAGCTGTTACTTGACACATTCTTTCCCTGTAACTCATATGCTAATTTTTGTCTTCTCTGGGAAAATGTTGATCCCTCATTCAAAACCTGTTTGTAGAGCGTGTGTTTCTCTCGCTCTCCACCATCCCTTTCTCTGAGCTCATCACACTTGGCTCCCTGCTCCTTCTGTAGCTTCTCTCATTCCATGTTACATCTTAAAATTGACACCTTTTTGCTTTACAAGATTGTGAACATGTTCAGGTTTGTGGCAGTGTATCCTGATAACGATTCCTTGCATGAAGCAGTCACTGCAGTGTTGAGTTGAGCTTAATCTTTCAGGGACATAGTCTCTTGCACCATCGGCAGACCCCTACCCGACGTTTAGCTTCCACAGTGGTGACTGGGTTTCCAGTACTGGGACTGGCTGAGCCTTGTTAGGGAGAAATGCGCTTAGTTTCTATTATTAGGACTCATTTCCTGCCCTTTATGTTCCTGTGCTCTGGTTTTGCTGTCAGAGAGACTGCTCTGTAGAGGTATGGAGCCCTAGAATGGAGAAGTAACGTACTCGGAGTGGAGTCTGCCGGCCCGCTGAGCGAGCTGCTGCACAGGGCCTCAGCCTGGACCCAAGGCTTGAGCAGACCGCTCCTGCTTCCTTCCTCGCGGGAGGGCTTGCAGGTCCCTATGTGTGATGGGCCCCATCCGGTTCCCTTAGGCTTTGCTTGCTGTGGGGGCTGAAGTTCATAAACAAGGGGGCAGGAGTGGTGGTAGGGACTGGTGTTTATGCATGGTGGGGAGTTGTGACCTACTTCCCAGGCCCGTTTTGAAGCTTTGTTTGCAGTTATAAGAAAGCATGTCAAGCAGAAAATGAAAGGATATCATCTCGGAGGCTTGGAAGAGGTTTTTTTCCCATACAGTTTTGATTGCATAGCAAAGTTTCATTTACTAGGTTCGCAGATATCTGATGCTGTGGGGCTTAATAAACTTAGTTTATTCCTCCCTTCTGCAAGTTAACGCTTTATTTGTTCATGAGAAATGATTCACATATTGCAGAAATCAAGCCAGTTTATTTTTATTTTGCTTTCTTTCCTATATCTTTTTTAAAGGTTAGAATAAACCCATATAACCTGCAGAAATGCAGGTTGCCACGGATCTGAAACCTCAGCTGATTTTTGCATGTTTTCCAGTGCTGTGATTGACTAAGCTTGTATTAGTGAAATTGGACATGACCCCCTAAAATTTACACAAAAATGTGGCCCCTTACCCAGAAACGCCATCAGGGATGCCACATACACTACCGGAATTTGGGGTGCCATACAATTTCACCATATGCTTATTAATCTCCAATATTAATAAGCCCCAGAGGGTTCTTGCCTAATATTTAGAGAAGAATTCTAAATACTGGCACAGATAAACAAGGCAGCATGGTACATTTTAAGCTTTTATTCAGTGATAAAGATGCACAGGAGAGTGAGGGCTTTTATTTAAGAGAGAGGTAAATCTGGGTTCATACCAAGCATCAGGAACCAGCCACGTGGAGGAGCATCTAGGCCTGGAAGCCTAGGACACCTGGCGCAGGGCTACAGCAAGCCCCCTCCTGGCAAGAGGCCAGGGAAGAAGAGAACGCGGACACACTGTGTCCCAGGCTTTTACCCACTTCCCAAGGGGAGTGGTTAATTAACCTGATTGGCTGGTGCGAACCCAGGTGCAGCCAGGTAGGGGCAGGAGATCACACAGGGGCGTGGCGAAGGTATTGGGTAGGGCGTGAGGTCACACAGGGGTGTGGTGAAGGCGTGGTCTTCCGGCTCACAAATCTAATCAATTTTAACCTGTATGCCTGCCTCCTTCATGAGCAGCAGAACTCTTCCACTTGCACATATTTTGTCGAGTATTAACAAGTACCGTTACTCATGAGTTTGCCCTTTGGTTTCAGACCTCGATTCATCAAGTCAGTCTTCCAGTTACTCTCCCAGGCCAACAGACAGTTGTTTCAGTTCCAGTTCGGAGATGGTAAGTTACACAGGTTTTAATTCTTAATATATGCTGATTAATGCAGAATTATTTTTCTCGTAGTTTATGAAAAATAATTGAATCACCATATAATGGAAATCGAAAATTTATGTAAACAAAAATGTAGAAAAAGTTTTAAAATATACAAAATAAGAAAAGTATAAAATTAAACATTCATGATGGGGCCAGCTCTGTGGCCAGCATATGCCTGCAGTGCCAGCATCCCATGTGGATGTCAGTCTGAGTCCTGGCTGCTCCACTTCCAATCCAGCTCCCTGCTAATGGCCTGGGAAAGCAGTAGAAGATGGCCTAAGTGCTTGGGCCTCTGCACCTTTGTGGGAGACCTGGAAAAAGCTCTTGGCTTCAGATTGGCCCAGCTCTCACTGTTGTGGCCATTTGGGGAGTGAACCAGTGGATGGAAGACCTCTCTCCATTTCTTTCCCTCTCTCTGTAACTATGCCTCTCAAGTAAATGAATAAATTTTTTAAAAAACCAAAAATGAGCATCTCATGCCTATTTATGAGAATAATGAATGTGTTCATTGTTACTTGTGAAAGCCCCTTTCATCAAGATATATAAATATATACATGGGTATGTATATGTGGAGTATACAAGGCTACTTCAGAAGGTCCATGGAAAATGGAATCAAAAGGTGTTTCTTTTGGTACAAAAATATTTCAAAATATGCATAATTTTTTCATAATATTTTGTTTTCATTTTTTTAAAAAATGGTTTATTCATTCTGGAAGTCAGAGTTACAGAGAAAGGGAGTGACAGCGAGCACGAATTCTTGCATCTGCTGGTTCACTCCCTGGATGGCTGCAGTGACCAGCACTGGACCAGGCTGAAGCCAGGAGTTTGTTCTGGGTCTCCCACATGAGTGGCAGGAGCCCAAACACTTGGGGCATCTTCCACTGCTTTTCCCTGGCACATTAGCAGAGAGCTGGGACAGAAGTGGAGCAGCCAGGACATGAACAGGCACCCATAGATTTACCTGTTATGCCACAATGCCGGTGTCCATATTACACATTTTATATGAACTTTTTGAAGACCCTTTGTGTGAATAGATCTCAGAATTTTTTGCACCCAAATAAACTTACCCTTTAGTTCCATTTTTCAGGAACTTTTTAAAGTGCCCTTGTACATGTCATATGTAAAATTCTGTGTGTGTGTATAATAGATACTTATTTCTTTTAAAAATGATTTTTTAAAAAAGATTTGTGGCCGGCGCCGCGGCTCACTAGGCTAATCCTCCGCCTAGCGGCGCCGGCACACCGGGTTCTAGTCCCAGTTGGGGCGCCGGATTCTGTCCTGGTTGCCCCTCTTCCAGGCCAGCTCTCTGCTGTGGCCAGGGAGTGCAGTGGAGGATGGCCCAAGTGCTTGGGCCCTGCACCCCATGGGAGACCAGGAAAAGCACCTGGCTCCTGGCCCCTGCCATCGGATCAGCGCAGTGCGCCGGCCGCAGCGTGCCGGCCGCGGCGGCCATTGGAGGGTGAACCAACGGCAAAGGAAGACCTTTCTCTCTGTCTCTCTCTCTCTCTCTCCCACTGTCCACTCTGCCTGTCAAAAAAAAAAAAAAAAAGATTTGTTATTTGAAAGGCAGAGTTACAGAGAGGCAGAGGCAGAGAGAGAGAGTGAGGTCTTCCATTCTGCTGGTTTGCTCCCCAGATGGCCACAGCGGCTGGACCTGTGCCAAAGCCAGGAGCCTGGAGCTTTTTTTGGGTCTCCCACGTGGGTGCAGGGCTCAAGGACTTGTGTCGTCTTCAACTGCTTTCCCGGGCCACAGCAGAGAGCTGGATCAGAAGTGGAGCAGCCAGGACTCAAACCAGAGCCTATGTGGGATGCTGGCACTGTAGGCGGCGGCTTTACCTGCTACGCCATAGCTCCAGCCCCTAAAAAGGATTTTTAAAAGAACCTGCTCACAGGGTCAGAATTGTGGTATACTGGGGTAAGCTACAGCCTGTACCCATGGGCCCCTGCACCCATGTGGGAGACCCAGAAGCAGCTCCAGGCTCCTGGCTTCAGCCTCACCCAGCCCTGGCTGTTGCAGCCATTTGGGTAGTGAACCAGCAGATGGAAGACCTCTCTCTCTACCTGCCTCTGTCTTTCAAATAATAATAATAATAAATGGCTCACAATCACTGAAAGCATAAAACAACCAACAATACATTCAAAAAGGAAGTCTTCAAGGAAATATGAAGATTTTTGTCCTCAATAACATTTCATACTTAGCTTTTTTGGGTTGTTTTAATTGATGCATATTAATTAGTTGGAACCTTACCAGCTTCTTTCAACCTCTGGCATCCGTGCAGTAGTCTAAGTTACTACTTGTTCTTGAACTGTTGTAGCTGTTGCCTAAGAGATCTCTAGTTTACTGTTGGCCCACTTTATTCTGTAGTTAGCAACTTTGAAAGTACAAATTGAATTGTTATTCCCATGTGTAACTGGTGGATTTTTAAAATATTTTAATTTATTTTTATTTTTTATTTGAGAGAAAGAGATATTTAGATACCTAGGTTGTATGCAGTAGTTCCCTCCCCAGATGACTGCAATAGCCAGAGCTGGGCCAGGCTGAACCCAGGAGCCAGGAACACTCAATCCAGATCTCCTACATTACTGGCAGTGAATCAAACATAGAAGCTGTTGTCTGCCTCCCAAGGTGCATAATCACAGGAAAATGGATTGGAAGCAAGGCCATGACTGGAGCCAGGTACCCTGATATGGTATGCAGGTGTCCCAAGTGGTGTCCTGAGTGCCAGATACCCACCCCCTGTGGGTTTCTTCCCTAGGCATCTAAGCAGCTGTCAGTCACTACTGGCTGGACTGTGCAGTCTGGCCCTGGCATCTCTCACCCTGACATCTCCCTTTCCTTAGCCTTCACTGCCGCAGAAGTTGTAGACATTCTGATCTGATTCTTTACCCTACTTTTATTCATTCTCTTTTTTTTTTTTTTTTGAGAGGCAGAGTTAGAGACAGAGAGATCGATCTTCCATCCACTGCTTCACTTCCCATAATGCTGCAGTGGTCAGGGCTGGGTCCTGTCAAAGCCAGGAGCTTTATCTTTGTTTCCTACATCTTTGCAAGGGCCCAAGGACGTGGGCCATCTTCTGTTGTTTTCCCAGGCACAATAGAAACAAGCTGGATGAGAAGTGGAGCAGCTAGGACTTGAACCAGCACCTATATGAGATGCTGGAGTGGCAGGTGGTGCTTAACCCACCGTGCCACAGTGCTGTCCGCTCCTGCATTCTTCGTGACTGTTGGAGAGTGCGTTGTGATGATTTCCGCTGTGTGTTAGGAGCGTGGGGAGTAGATAGCCTGTGATTCCAAGGACTGATACGAGACAGTTTTCCCAGGGATTACTATTGTTCTTGCTACTTTAGTGTCCATACCCACCTGGTAGGTTCAGTAGATTATTGTTTGAGTATTCTTTGATGGCATATCTGCTTTCCTCTGTAATATGTGGAAGTCACGTCTGTATTTAGAAAAATTTGCTAATGTGAAAGTTAAGGGTATGTGCTTTGAAGTGACTGAATGAACTTGAAGCTTAAACATTATTTACAGAAAAATCATTAAATTTCTTTTAGCCATCTGAAGAGGAAGATCAAATGTTGCAGCAAATGGAGGACTCAAATATGATATCCATCAAACCTAAAGAAACAAGTAATAATTACTTTCCAGGAGAAGTGGCAGAACTCTCAAGAGATGAGGTTGTTAAAGCCGAAGTTGACAAACTGAATGAGAATTTTCATCCGTTCTTAGTGAAACATACTGAGGAGTCGCTTCTGTCTCGGTGCAGCTCAGCACCCGTATTGCTAAGCGTGACCAATGGCAACAGCTTTGTGCAGGTCGCAAGATGTGATGCAGAGGTGCAAACAGAGAATGAACTTGAACTGCAAGGAAAAGCAGATGCTGCCATACAGTGTGATAGGATTTCAGCGTGTGCGTGTGGAAGAAATCTGTCCCCTCTCTGCAGTGCGAACACTGCGGCAGATACCACTGGAGGGCAGCGCATCCTTAATAACAGCTAGTATTTTAAAATCTCTGCTTGGGCGGTAGCATCTCAGCCGACCTTGGAAGACAGTGGTAAATGTTTGGAATTTCACAGACGTAAAACATAGCTAAGCATAAAGGGAAATTATTCAGAGACTGTATTTATGGTTTATGTCAGTATCAACTTATGCATTTTATTTTTATTGTAGGCATTTCTGTAGTACCTAGTTTATTTTCAAGTTTTTAGAAAATAGTATATTTGTAACTACTATCTGTCATTCTTGCAGTTTTCATCAAAGTAATTCTGTTATTTATGGATTAAAAATTGCTTAATTGCTTCCATTTTTGTTGCATTTATTTTAAACTTTAGTAAGTTGCGCTTTCAGCAAGAATGTCCCTTTTCAAGACTTTTATGGCAGAACATAATCCAAGTAGTCTCCATAATATGATTTTTGTTTTTAAGAATTCTGTTAGCAGAGGGACAGAGGGTGAGAGATACTTGTTCGGTCCTCGGATGCTCACAATGAGTCACAGCCAGGAGCTGGGAAAACAGATCTCCCAGGTGAGTGGCAGGAGCCTCATTACTGGAGAATGCATTGGCAGGAGGCTGGAGTCAGGAGCGGGAACCAGGAATAGAACCCAGGCACTCTGATACGGGGTGTGGGTGTCCTAACTGTAGGCAGTGCCTGTCTCCCCATTTTTTTTTTATACTTCTCTTTAGTATGATACTTCTGTTTAAACATTCTAGGTTAAGTTTTAGATAAAATATATCTTGTGTTTTAGTTGGATAACTTTTATGTTGGTGCTTTTATTAATTTCTTTAGAATTAAAAATATTTTAATGCTGTTATAATTTTTTGACCAGATTTTATTGAAATAGTCTTGGAAGTTATGAATTTGTAACTTCCATTGTCAAGGAGTTTCTTGGAATTCAAGGATTTCTGAAATTACGTTTTTCTAATTCTGTAATAGCTGTGCACTTGCTAGTTGATTTTTTTTAAGATTTATTTATTCAAAAGAATTACAGAGAGAGCGAGCCAGATTTTGCATCCACTGTTTTACTCACTCCCCAGTTGGCCACAATGGCCAGGGCTGGGCCAGGCTTTAGGTAGGAGCCAGGAGTTTCTTCCAAGTTTCCCACATGAGTGTAGGGGCCCAAGGACTTAGACCTTCCTTTGCTGCTTTCCCAAGGGCATAAACAGGGAGCCGGCTCAGAAGTGGAGCAGCTGGGACTCGAACCCGTGGCGTATGGGATGCCAGCACTGTGGTTGTTGGCTTAACCTGCTGCGTCACAGCGTTGGCCCCACTGGTTGGAATTCTTAAGATTACCATCCCCCTGTCACTTTGTTCACTAAACAAGTCAGGGTCATATGCAAAGATACCAAATACCATATTCAGAACTGACTTGGAGGCAGTTAAAGATCTGTAGACTTAGAAATCATAATTCATATCATGATCAAAGAAAAAGCCCTAAATCAAACTGTCATTGACACACCTCAAGTACCAGCAAGCTGCTTGATGCTTTATAAAACATATTGGAATTGATTCTACAAATATCTTGTTAGAACTAAGAGCAAAAAAAAAAAGTTTGAAATTAGCAAAACGCTATTTACATTACTAATTATCATGTTTTTAAGATTATTTTCAAAAACATCACAAAAATGCAGGCTTTGTTCCTAGTTTTTGTCGGGATTTTGGATGTCTGCACGCTGTAGGCGTGAAGCCTGTTTGGATGTGTTACAGGGCGCCCTCCAGGGCCCCTGGTTTCCAGTTTTTGATGGGCAGCAGGAGGAGAGACTGCTTTTGTTACGCAGACACCACTCAGTAGTTGGTGTTCAGAGGTGGATTGGAGCATAGCAGTTCAGAAATCCCAAGAGCCAGCGTTAAAGGATCGTTACCCTCAGATTTTAGTTTGCTTTAGGAAGTTATTTTTTCTGCCCCGAGAGAACACAGTGAGCCAGCCCCTAAATGATTTTTCTGAAAGTATAACATTGATCCCGTGAAAGGGAATGTAGGGATCTGATGTGCACGGGCACTTTTTCACAAGGCCAGATACTCACCCTCCTGATGTTAAATGAAAGGGGTTCCATTGTGGATGGATTATCTTGAGCTTTATTTTGCAAAAATAAATTTATTTTGTCCAAAAATTAACTAACCATGAATGCGTGGGTTTCACTTTGTTCTGTTCCATTGAGCTATATCTGTCTGTATGTACATATGTACGTACGTATCTATCTATTCCCTTATGCCAATATCACACTGTCTTGATTATCTTTTTATCAAGTTTTACCGAAAAGTATTGCTACTCTCTATTCTTTGCCAAAATGTTTTAGATAGTCCATTTTGTTTTCAGTTCTCTTTTGACTTAATCTTGTCAATTTCTAGTACCCCAAAACTCATGTTTAGATTTTTTAAAGATTTATTTATTTATATTTGAAAGAGTTATGCACAAAGAGAAGGAGAGGCACAGAGCGAGGTCTTCCATCCACTGGTTCACTCCCAAACTGGCTGCAATGGCTGGAGCTGGGCTGATCCAAAGCCAGGAGCCAGGAGCTTCTTGCGCATCTCTCACCAGGTGTAGGGGCCCAAGCACTTGGGCCATCTTCTACTGTTTTCCCAGGTCACAGCAGAGAGCTGGATTGGAAGTGGAGCTGCCAGGGACCTAGAACCGGTGCCGACATGGGATGCCGGCACTGCAGGTGGCAGCTTTATCCACTATGCCACAGTGCTGGCCCCTCATGTTTGGATTTTGATAAGGATTGCATTGAATGTCTGTATCAGTTTGGAGGTTATTAAGGACTAAATCTTTAATAATGTTGAGTTTTAGAATCAATGTATCTCTCCACTTATTTGTATTATTTTTTTTTTAAATTTGAGAGGCAGAAAAGGAGAGAATGCACTCCCATCTGGTGGTTCATTCCCTCAAAGCCCACAGTTTTCTTTTTAAAGATGTATTTATTTGAAAGGCATGGTGCACACACATACGGGGTAGGGAGGGAGAGAGACTGACAGACCGACCTTCTGTCCTCTGGTTCACCCCCCCACAACAGCCAGGGTTTGTCCATGGTGAAGCGTTAGGAACGGCATCTGGGTCTCCCCCATGGGTGGCAGGGAGCTAGGTCAGAAGTGGAGCAGCCAGGACTCAAAGGGGGCCCGTATGGGATGCTGGCACTACAGGAAATGGCTTAACCCACTATGCCACATTGCAGGCCACTCCTGGTCTTTCTTAAAGCAGTATTTGGCTTGGGCTGCAGCTTCATGAATCTGATAAATGTTATTTTAAGCCTCTGTGTTTTGAGGGTTAATTAATAATTGGAACATATTTTGGTATCTGGAAGTAAGGTGCCACCGGTAGTTACCAAAACTTGGGAATGCGTGGCCTTGGGGCTGAGGGGCAGGCTGAAGCCTGGAGGCCCGTGGTAAGATGATGGGAGTCTGAAGGCCTTGAAGAGACTGTTCCTGGTAATCCTGTGGCCTGTGTGTCTGAAAGGAAACAGGATTCTGTCGGTGAAAGCGAAGAATGGGGACATCTGTTACGTAGTGACAGGAAGTTATCACTCGCAGTAACAGGGAAAAGAGAACTAGCAAACTGAGGAGATTGCAAGGAGAATGCCGGAGCTGCCACGTGGGCTCCAGCTGCCCGTGGTAAAATGCAGGATCAGAGTATTGAGTTCCAGAATGAGCTTTTAAATACACAGGAGTTGGGGTTTGCTGGAGTCTAAAAACTTCTTCCTTCTAGTCTCTTCAGATGGCAGATGATGTTGACATTAGGAGAAGACTTTGGGATGATGGTCAGATCCTGTGCAGTGTCGGGACATCAGGGAATAAACATGGCAGGGGTGTTGCCGTGCCGCCCTTTGCAGAGACCGCAGGGGTGCTGGAGGTGCTGTTCCGGTGGCTGCACCTACGCCTCCCAGGAGGCCCTGCTGCAGGCCCGCTAGGCGACACAGACTTCCTGTGGGGCTGGTGTGGGGGTCAGGGAAGACCCAGCTGTGACAGTGGACGTGGGCTCCAGGCTGTCCCTTCAGGTCCTTGTGCCCTGGAGGACACCCCAGCCTGCAGGAGGCTTGTGACCCACCGTGCTTTCTCACCTCCGTGCACTCTCAGGGGGGTGCTGGCTGTCCCACCAGGTCCACAATACCGGGTCAGAGGGAGACATGGGACTGGGCAGGTGGCACTGTACCAGCGAGGTTGAGGTGCATTAGGATGCCACTGTCCGCGTTGGGACAGCTGGAGTCGGGTCCCAGGAACGCCTTGCCAGTGTCCTGGGCATGCATGCAGTAGCGCTGGCCCTCTGTGAATGGTGACACAGCTTAAGGAAAAACGGAAATTCTCAGTCTCCTACAGTTAATGAACTGGAGCATGGGTGTGGTTTGTTCTCTTACATTTACGTAGCTGACGTTTGGGGGCCTAGCTGTACATACGTGGATACCTGATTAGTGTTGCAGTAGCTGTATCATTATAAGGTGAGTATTTGGCTTGGTGACTTCTCAGTTGTGTCCTGAGGTGAATAAATATAATATTTCAGGAATTCTGTGCATGCAGAATGCTTCTAAATAGCTCCTCTACAGTGAAAATGGTATTATTAGCCAAGAGTAAGTTTGTGTGTTTTAAATTCTATTTGAGAGACAGATAGCTTTCATTGGTTGGTTTACTCTCCAAGTGTTTGGCAACTGCTGGGGCTGGGGGAGGCAGAAGGTAGGACCCTGCAGCTCAGTGCAGGCCTCCCACTGCCTCCCAGGGTCTGCATGCAGAACTGGAGTCTTTAGCCAGGGCTCAAGTGTGTAACCTGGTACCCCCGGGTGGGATGTGGCATCTTAACCTGTAGGCTGACTGCCCATCCTTAATGGATTTTTTTTAAAGGTTTATTTGAAAGGCAGTAACAGGGAGAGTCAGAGAGGGGTGTCTTCGCTGGTTTATTCCCCAGGCACCCACGTCAGCTATGTGTGGGCCAGGCTGAAACCAGGAACCCCATCTGGGTCTACCACGTGGCTGTCAGGAATGCAAACAATTACTTGGGCCATGATCTACTGCCTCCTGCATACATTAGCAGGAAGCTGGATCAGAACTGTGCAGTAGCCAGCATTCAAACCAGGCTCTCTGATACGGGATGCAGGCTTCCCAGGTGGTGGGTCAGCCTGCTGTGCCTCAGTGCCTGCCTCGGGAATTGTAAAAGAATGCCGCGGCGTAGCAGGTAAAGCTGCTGCCTGCAGTACTTCCATCCCACATGGGCACCAGTCCAAGTCCCGGCTGCTTCTGTTCTGATCCAGCTCTCTGCTATGGCCTGGGAACTCAGCAGAAGATGGCCCAAGTCTTTGGGCCCCTTTATCTGCTTGGGAGACCCGGAAGAAGCTCCAAGCTCCTGGCTTCAGATAGGCCCAGCTCTGGCTGTTGCAGCCATTTGAGGAGTGAAGCAGCTGTTGGAAGAACTCTGTCTGCCTCTGCCTCTCTGTAACTGCCTTCTAAATAAATAAAAATAAATCTTTTTTTAAAAAAAAATACAGAACTTGCACAGGAAATTTTGTATGTGCCTTACTTTAAAAACAATTCCTTGTATTCATTGGAAAACACAAAGTAAGCAGTAAGTAATACAAAAAATAAAATGATATAAGAAATAAAGATTTGAGGTGGTGTCTCACACAGGTAAGAGCATCTTAAAGGATCTTCATGGACATGCACTGCATTTGTCTCTGTTAAACAGTAGGGCTTAATCAAGGTTGCTTTCCTATCGCAATCTTGTAGGAAGCCAGAGTTAGAGAAAGGCTTACTATGGTGAATTTTGTGGGTGTAGATTTTATCTAACGTGGTAAACCTGT